GCTTTACATCTTTGGACTTCATAACTCTACCAAATCAACAAGTTGATCTTCAAAATATATCACATTCAAAGCTCCTGGATACGAGCCTAAACTTTTTGTCGTCTCCTAAAAATTGAAACTTTTGTGACGCTCCTTAATGCACGAGCCTAAATCGCATGTTACGCTTTCTCTACATGAGTTGAAACTATGAATGACACAAAATTGAACTACATTTGGATTGATCCTTTCGGGGTATGTAAGCAACTTGGACTCGTGTTCTAATTTCAGTCAACCAAATAAAAAATATATATATTTCTATACATGGTGAGGTTTTGAAGCAGTGGTTTCAAATTAGGACCCAAGAAGTTGCTGCTAAATCATCTAACAAATCTTAAGAAGTCAAGTGTCGAGACCCGCTCACTTTTCACATTTTTGGAACGTGTACGCAAGCAAGTCTCAATTCAGTCAATTACAAATTGCCACGTACTACAAAGGCCTACAAAATATAGTACAACTATTGACAATTTAAATCTTGCCACGTGTCTAATTGGTCTTGAATTAAGATTACATGGTAGTTAAATTAAATATTGCCATCAATTAAAATGATGCAGTAAGATTTTGACAAAATCAAATTAAGTAATAATGATGCAGCAAATAAGTTTTGTACTAATCAAATTAAGTCACTTGTCATATTGAGGTGGTCAAGCCAATAAAATTGTGGTACACCATTAAAGTGATTTATCTCTAAATAAATTAGAGATAGTTACCACATAAATTAAAATTTATTAAGACTCTCCTCCATCCATTCTTATAAATAAGGGTCTCCACCAGAATTTTTCATACATAAATCAAGTTGTAGATACAAAAATCTACATCAAGCAAGAGAAAGCTCCATCGGATTCACACCTAAAGCCCAGAGGTCGTTTCACCAAAGCTGATCAATCTCCATAAAACATAAAGTTCAAATATTCAAATCAAAATTCATCATCAAATCTGCAAATTTACAGTCGTCTTCTACTAAATTGGAGGAGATTCTACAAATTTGATTTGGAAAAAAGCTGTCAAACCCTCAAGTCAAAAAATTTATATTTGTTACTCTATTTTTCTGTCTTTATTTTTGTGGACAAGAAATTTGTGTATACATATGCCTTTTAGGGAAGACTATGGTACACACCCCTCAAAGGGTGTGTATACCATATGCACCATATAAACACGGAAGAAAATGACATAATTTCATACTTACTGAATGATAACTAAAAAAACAAAAAAGTCATAACCAAACACAAAGTCATAACTAAAATCTCAAAATAATATCATAATTAAATAAGAAAATGGCGTAAATTTGTGTATACATATGCCTTTTAGGGAAGACTATGGTACACACCCCTCAAAGGGTGTGTATACCATATGCACCATATAAACACGGAAGAAAATGACATAATTTCATACTTACTGAATGATAACTAAAAAAAAAAAAAAGTCATAACCAAACACAAAGTCATAACTAAAATCTCAAAATAATGTCATAATTAAATAAGAAAATGGCGTAACTAAGAGTGCATATGGTTTGTGGGTGTATACAATAGAATTCTCCATGCCTTTATTATTATTATTGTTGTTGTTGTTGTTGTTGTTGTTGTTATATTTTAATTTTTTTTAAAAGTGAACTAAAATAAATAAATAAATAGGTATAGCAACGATTTATTTATTTATTTATTTATTTTGAAAAGGGATGTAACTCTTACTTTAGTACTAAATACTAACTTCAACGATATCTACTAAAAGATATCAGTGCGTTAACAAGACTTAAATAGAACCTATTCCGCCCTTTATTTCTTTTCACTGCAGCAACATTACTTATGTATGAATTTTTTTTTTTTTAAATGATAATAAAAATTCTAATTTAATAAATCAAAAGAACTATATAAATAAACAAACAAGAGTGGAATGCGTTTACCAAAGTTGTGAGAAATTGCGACGCAAACCTTCACGTGATACAATTCGGTACATGTTGAACATTGACACAATTTCGGACAACGTCGCCAAAAACTTGCTATAACTTTGAATGTATATACTTAAGTGCAAGTTGTCATAAAGTAATAAAGTTTCAGTGAGTTCGAGATCGAATTCACAGGAATTGATATATTCGAATAAAGAATCAAGTGATCGAGAATAATATAAAATAAAATAGAATTGATTGAAAAATATTTGAATGATTTGAGAAAGTAATTGATTAAAAATGATTTTAGGTAACAATAATATAAAAATACTAAGGCATTAAAGATTCACTATCGATATTTTATTTGTAAAATATTTTTGATTCAATTTGTATAACTCAACTGAAAATCACACAAAGGGTGTTTTCAGTTGGAAGATAAAACAGTTATTTTATAAAAATAATATCTCAAAAGATTGATTATTTTGATTGGTTGATTACACCATAAAAATTTAGGAGTAAATTACAATTTGCCCCCTTTATATTTGGTCGCTTTCCACTTTAGCCCATAAAATTTATTTTTCCCTACTTTGGCCTTTCATTTTAAAGTTTTTCTCATTTCACTCATAAAGTTAACGTTTGTTCAAAATTAGACAAAAAAATGTCATAATAACTCCCACGTAATATAAAAATATATATATTATTATATGAAAGTTTAAGTTGATGTCAGAAGTGTGAGTTATATATAATAAAATATTTTTATGTTACATGACTGTTAATGTGTCATTTTTTGTTTAATTTTGAACAAAAATTAGGTTTAGCAGTAAAGTGAAAAAAATTTGAAACATGAAATCTAAAGTGAAAAAAAACAAACTTTAAACAAAAATGTTAGAGACTCCAAAAATTCTACTAAAATTTTTACCAAATGTCTCACATGAATGTGAGACCACACGGGATCCACATTTTGTGGGTCCCACATCCATATGAGACATTTGATAAAAAAATTTATAGAATTTTTGAAATTTCTTGCATTACTCTACTTTAAAAGTCAAAATAAAAAAAATAACCAAATATAAAAAGGGCAAAGTCTAATTTACCCAAATAAAATTATCAAATTAGACAAACTTTAACCTTACTCTAGCTAGTTTTCTAACCAACTCAGCACTCCCGTTGCTTCTCCAGGGGAATCTGAATCTTTTCCCTATTTGTTGGGTTGCTCGGTGAATTTTGTGTTTCTTTCCCGACTTGCAGTTGTTCAGTTGGGCTTTCTCGTCCCACTAATTGGCCTTTGTTTTAGTATGATCCATCACATGTAATGGTTTGTCCCACTTGTATTTTTCCCTCCACATTTTGCATGGCAGAAAAAGAATTTTTTTAAATATTTAGATTGTTATGTTGTTTCATAAGTTTGATTGTAAAATAAATAAATAAATAAAATAGGAAAAGAAAATGTAGGTAAATTGAAGGGGCTAAATGTGAAATGGGTCAGGTCCATGCCTTGAGCCGGCCCAATCCACTGAAGTCCAAATCCAAGTGGGTTAGATGAGTATATGGGCAAACCAATTGAGCCCAACTTCATGATCAACAGTCCACCCAAGTCCTCAAGCACTTGGGCCCAACCCGCAGTGGAAAGGCTAGTCTAGCCGTGGTGCTGGGCTGGGCCGAGCTGCGAGGCTGAACCTATGGCCCGAATAGAAAATTGGTCGAGCCCATACAAAGATATCCGAATGGGTCATCCCATCTCCATGAATGATCCTGTAAAAGGTCGAGACAAGGCATAATGATGCCGAGCTGAGGCACATCGGTACCGAGCTGAGGAAACCCTGCAAGAAAACATGAAAGTTGTGAATATGTGCATGTGCAAGTTGCCACCTCAGCTGGTCCCCTACACGTAAAATCACGGAAGTTGTTGAATCAAAGGAATGTGGTTTGTTACCAGCATGACTACAAAGAGTATATGCATTCAATGATAACTACCAGGTGATCCCCCATCTTGAGCAATGCTAAAAGGACACCTGGCAGCATCCAAGCTCCATAAACCCACCTTGAGAAGCAAGCGAGGAACACTATACATACAACATGACCTTCACATTGAAGATAACTGAACTATTCCAAGCAAAATCATACATAGAGAGAGATCCAATTCTACATACACCTCTTCTCCGATCACTGATTCCCACACCGGAAGGGTTATCCAGCTAACCCCGGCCAGGCAGCTCTAACGGTGCTTCTTTTGGCAGGAATCCCAGTCCCTAGATAGTCTAACCAAGTGCAGGGCCCCGATCCACTTTTATCTAGTGCAGAATCCGGTACGCACAATTGGTGCGGTGAACGTGGATCACTTCATCTCTGAGCTCTGCACTCAGTTCTGGCGATGGGGATTGAAGACGTTCCGCCTCCAACACATACTCCACTAATGAAGAAGACAAAGGACAAAGGTTTGGCACTCCCAACAGTTCTGGAAGAACGAACTGGAAATAACAACCGGACTCCTGAATCCGCTGAGCATCGATTACCCTTCGCTGGAGGTTCTTCTCATCACTTCCTTCTGGAAAATGATTATAGAGATCAAATCATAGACTCCATGGGGATGGAGATACATGAGCTGAAAGCCCAACTTAAAAGGGTGCTGGGTGATCCGACGGAAAAAAGGACAGAAGTAGAACCCTCTCGCCTGCAACGAAGGAGCTCATCCAGAGAGCCACCAGTGAAAAAATTTCCCAGAAATGAGTCTAGGCAATGAAGCCAGCCTATCTCGGTACAGAGTGAAGCGGCAAGCAGTCACACCCGTGGGTCACACCGGAGAAGGGCTAAGAGGCAGAAGACAGTTAGTCAGCAAACTGAGTACCCCCCACAAGACCTTCGTACTTGGTTAATCGGCAACAAGCAGAACGAACAACATCGGGATCATCTAGACTGTACTGTCCACCAGAGAGAACACCGAGCGCTAGATAGGCTCGTCTCCTCACCATTCTCCCCGGAAATTGAGTCCATGAGACCCCCAAAGAAATTCACTCCACCAAAGTTCACTTCATACGATAAAAAGTCAAACCCACTGACACATATTAGCCATTACAGACAAATGATGTCTCTATGGAGCCGAGATGAGGCACTGATGTGCAAAGTCTTCCCATCCAGCTTGGGAGAGACCAGACTTCGATGGTTCGATCGACTCCCCGCTGGATCGATTCGTAGCTGGAAGCAACTCTCCGAAGAGTTCTTAGCCAGGTTCGTCTCCAACACTAAGATTCTGAAAAAGCAGGATACACTGTTCGGCCTTCGAAAGGAGCAGGAGGAAACGCTACGCAATTACGCTAGGAGGTACTGGGAAGAATACAACGACCTGGAGGAAAATGTATGTAGCGAACAGACGGTCGTCTTGTCTTTCAAACATGGCCTGCACCTAGAAAGTAAGTCGAGACAATCACTTACCAAGCGCCCGGCCACAGCGTTAAAAGACTTGCGTGCCAGGATTGAGCAATACGCTTGCCTCGAAGACGATCAGATCCCCATTGAGGTAGTGTCAGCAGAACAGACAGCTCAGCACAAGAAAAGAACAGATCAAGGAGAACACAGAGGGATCGCAGTGAATGAAGTGGATAAGTCCAAATCCCACAAAGCCGTTGTGATTGTGTTCAAAGAACCAATTTATCAAATCCTGGAAAAGATCAAGAGAGAGCCCTTCTTTGTTTGGCCGCCGAAAATGTTGGGAGATCCAACTCGGCGCAATCAGAAGCTCAGATGCACTTACCATCAAGACAGGGGGCACATGACTCAGAACTGCAGAGCACTGAAACAACACTTGGAAGACTTAGTAGCAGCAGGGCACCTTCGGGATTACATTGATCAGGATAAAGAAGTGACCGAACCAGGGAACCCACTACCAGAACCAAATATTGAGCATCCACCTCGGCTGATAATAAATGTGATACACGGGACAGCGACTCAGGAGCCTGAGAAGACACTGAGAGGAGATTGCTAAGGCTGTGCAAATCCAACAAGTCATGTCAGTGGAGCCCGCATCGAAAAAGGTACGCGCGGTATCCAAATCCCCCTTTTGCACTGTTTCATTTACTAGAAAGGATTTAGAGGGCATACAACACCCACATACTGATGCACTGATTATAACTGTGGGAATTGGGAAACGATTTGATGTAAAACGAGTCTTGGTAGATCAAGGTAGTGTAGCAGATATATTGTATTATGATTTGTTCAGAAAGCTTGGTCTCTCCGAGCAGTACCTCACCCCAGCGGCAGCCCTGTTGGTCGGTTTCAATTCACAACCAGAATGGCCGCTTGGCAGAATAGTGTTGCCAATCGTGGCAAGAACAAAAACCCTCCAGATAGAGTTCTTGGTAATTAATACACCATCCCCTTACAACGCCATACTTGGCCATCCGTGGATTCATCAAATGGAGGCAGTCCCTTCAACCTACCACCAGCTCATCCATTTCCCAGCGGAACACAAAGTAGAGCAGATCTCAGGGACTCATGTTGCGTCTAAACATTGCTTCATGGCAGTATTAAAGGCAAAGCAGCTCTGCAATCGGGTACAGACGGTAAAAGTGGCCGAACAGCCAGTCTTGGAAGATGTAGGGGGAGCTCCAGAGGAAAAAATAGTAGAGGATTTGGAGAAAGTCCTGGTAAAAGAGGATGACCCAGAAAAGTACTGCCTTATCGGTACCTCGCTAGGCGTTGATGAGAAACTTCAGCTGCTGGAACTGCTGAAGGAAAATATGGAGGTATTCACATGGTCAGCATATGATACTCCAGGGTTAGACCCAGAATTTGCATGCCACAAGCTCAACATCAACCCTTCAGCTCGGCCCATTGTGCAAAAAAATCAGAGATCCTCAGTCGAGCACACCGAAGCATTAATTGCCGAAGTCGAAAAACTCCTGGCTTCAGGAGCAATCAGGGAAGTTCAGTACCCGCAATGGCTGTCCAACACAGTTGTAGTCAAGAAGAAGAACGAAAAATGGAGAGTTTGCGTTGAATTCACTTGCTTGAACAAAGGCTGTCCTAAAGATAGCTTTCCTCTGCCTCGCATTGATCAACTAGTAGACTCAACAGTAGGGCATGAGCACATGAGCTTTCTGGACGCTTATAGCGGTTATCATCAGATACCACTGTTCGGTTCGGATCAAGAAAAGACAGCATTTATCACTCCGAGAGGAACTTACTACTACAAAGTGATGTCGTTCGGCCTCAAGAACACCGGGGCGACCTACCAGCGGATGGTCACTCGAATGTTCAAGGACCAACTGGGAAAAACCATGGAAGGTTAAATAGATGATATGGTAGTCAAGAGCAAGTTCGCTACAGACCATCTTACAGACTTGAGAGAAGTTTTCAGCATCTGAAAAAACCATCAGCTTCGCGTCAATGCCTCGAAATGCGCTTTCGGGGTAGGAACAGGGAAGTTCTTGGGATATATGGTCACTCACAGAGGAATTGAGGCGAATCCAGACCAAATAAAAGCAATACAAGATCTTGAAGTACCAACAAAGGCTAAGGAGCTGCAGAAACTGGTCAGAATAGCGGCTGCACTGAATCGGTTCATCAGCAAATCTTCAGATTGGATGAAGCCCTTCTTCTAGCTTTTGAAAAAAAGGGCAGCATTTGAATGGAGTTCCGAGTGCACCGAAGCACTGCAAAGTCTCAAAAAATACCTCAGTATACCTCCCCTTCTGTCCACTCCAGAGCCAGGAGAGGAGCTGTACCTCTATCTAGCAGTCTCAGATCATGCCGTAAGCGCAGTATTAATTCGAGAGGTTAACAAGGAACAGAGGCCTGCATACTACGTTAGCAAGACTTTACTAGATGTCGAGACACGGTATCTACCATTGGAAAAGTTAGCTTACGCGCTGCTTATCGCCTCAAGGAAGTTACAACATTACTTCCAAGGGCATACCATCAATGTCCTCACTGAATTCCCCCTCAGATCTGTATTTAACCGAGCCGATTTCCCTGGCAGAATAGCAAAATGGGCAATAGAACTTGGTGAGTTTGACATTCGGTATCAACCCAAGACAGCAATTAAGGCCCAGGTCTTAGCAAATTTTGTCACAGAATTTGTTCCCACCCAGAGTATCGAACTAGGGAACCAAAGTTCGGCACAGGTGCCACGCATCACTGAAAAAGGAAAGCCCTGCGCTTCGGAAGCCTAGAAACTCTTCATCGGAAACATCTGGCAGCTCTATGTTGACGGGTCATCCAATAACCGAGGTTCGGGGGCAGGAGTAGTACTTATCTCACCAGAAGGATTTATCTGGGAACAGGCTCTCAGGCTCGGTTGGAAGGCTTTGAACAATGAGGCACAGTATGAAACGTTGTTGGCTGGCTTACACGATGCCGAACACTTCAGTGCAGAACAGCTTCTTGTTTTTAGCGATTCACAGCTAGTGGTAAACCAACTTTCTGGGGTCTACAAAACACGGGATGAAAGAATGGCCATATACGCAGGCAAGGCCAAAGACTTACTCAAAACGTTTCAATCCATACGAGTGGAACGAATTAGTCGGGACAAAAACGACCATGCTGATGCTTTGGCTTGTCTCGGCTCATCAGTGGATACCAAAGATGCCAGAAAAGTTTAGGTTGAGTTCGTGCTAGAGCCAAGCATTGCATCTCCAGTCCTCTACAACAGCGTAGAGCTGAGCTGGATGGATCCAATACTTGCTTTTCTAAAATCTGATACTCTCCCCGAAGACAAAAAGGAAGCCAACAAAGTCAGACACAAGTCAGCTCGGTTTTAGATCTCACCATCCGGGAAGCTGTACAGGCGCTCCTATCTTGGCCCTTATCTTCTATGTATGCATCCAAATTTGGTCGAGAATGTTCTCTACGAAATTCACGATTGGGATTTGTGGATGCCACGTTGGCGGAAGGTCGCTGGCGCACCGAGCCCTCACTCACGGGTATTGGTGGCCACGGATGGAACAAGATGCTCAGCAGTACGTACAGAAGCGTGATAAATGTCAGAGGTTTGCTCCATTCATTCATCAGCCAGCCAAAACTCTCACCCCACTCACCAGCCCATGGCCCTTGTCCAATGGGGTCTGGATATTGTCAGACCATTGGCGCGAGGCACTGGGAACAGGCGATTCTTCATTGCAGCAACCGACTATTTTACTAAATGGGTTGAAGTCGAGGCATTGGCAAATATCAAAGAGGCAGATACGAAGCGGTTTGTTATGAGAAATGTGGTGGTGCGTTTCGGCATCCCGCGGGTACTGATTGCAGACAGTGGAACATAGTTTGATGGTAAGATCTTCAGAAAGTTTTGTGCCGACCTCAGGATCGAGTATAGGAAGTCTTCTCCAGGGCACCCGCAAAGTAATGGACAGGCAGAAGCCTCAAACAAAACCATCATCAACGGAGTAAAGAAACGACTTGAGCATGCCAAAGGAAAATGGGTTGAAGAGTTACCCCACGTGCTATGGGCATACCGAACCACAGCACGACGATCAAAGGGGGAAACACCTTACTCACTAACTTACAGAATGGAAGCCGTTATCCCACTCGAAGTCGGCCTCCCAACCCTTCAATCTGAATTGTTTGAGAGCACCAGTAATAAAGAAGCTATTGCACAAGCACTAGATATGGCAGAGGGTCGAAGAAAAACAGCACTGATCAGACTTGTAGTGTATCAGCAACAGCTCATCAAGAGTTTCAACCAAAAAGTTTTCCCAAGGCAATTTACACCAGGAGAGCTGGTCTTGAGGAAAGTTATGGATCACAAAAAGGTGCCTGGCGAGGGCAAACTTGGGCCTAACTGGGAAGGTCCCTACAAAGTCACAGTCGTTGTTGGAAATGGAGCTTACTACCTAGATGATCTGAATGGCAGAGCTATACCTCGGCCCTGGAACGTAGCAAATCTCAAAAAATACTATCAATAGAATTGTCCCCCAACTTCTCTATCAGAATGTAAAGGCATTTATCTGTTGACCAATGCAAATGCTTCCCCACTTCTCTCAAATTTATCAAATTGTTATAATTAGCTTTGATGTTTATCAAACGGAATTAGCTTTGGTTCTTACCAAACAGAATTAGATTTGATGTTTATCAAATAGAATTAGCTTTGGTTCTTACCAAACGCAATTAGCTTTTATGTTTATCAAACAAAATTAGCTTTGGTTCTTACCAAACGCAATTAGCTTTGATGTTTATCAAACGGAATTAGCTTTGGTCCTCACCAAATGGAATTAGCTTTGATGTTTATCAAACAGAATTAGCTTTGGTCCCCACCAAATGGAATTAGCTTTGATGTTTATCAAACGGAATTAACTTTGGTCTTCACCCAAATGGACTTAGTTTCAGAACGACTGGACGGAATATAAATTTGGTTAGCACTCAAACATGCTAAGTGGTATTGCTTGGTGGAATAATGTTTGGCAACTAAATTAGACTTTAGCCAAGTGGAATTGCTTGGTGGAAACCACACTAACATATCTTAAGTAAACATCTTTGAATCCACAGAATTCCTCAAGTACCAATACGTCAACACTTCAGTATTGATTCAAACAAATAGAGTTGGAACAAGCATGACCAGGTTCTGTCAGGACTAAGCTTCCAGCATAAGTCTTACTCAACTCCAGGCGGGGGCAAACAATTGTTTCTTTTTAAACCAACCTGGACTTGAGTAGGACACCTCTTCATGCCTTTATCTCATCCAAGTGCATCTGCACTATCAAAGTTGCAATAAACTTAAGCAGTTCTATCTAAGAGCACAATCTTCAGTACCAATCTTACTTAGCTCCAAGTAGGGGCAAACCATTGTTTTCTTTCAAAACCAACCTGGACCTAAGTAAGACCCACTTATGAACTCAAGCACAGCCATACCACATATCCGTTAGTCACACCGAGCATCAGTTCGGCCCCGAGGTCCCAACAGTGCTCGGCCGGGGGCAAACAGTACAAAGTCACACTGAGCATCCGTTCGGTCCTGAGGCCCCAACAATGCTTGACCGGGGGCAAGCAGTACAGAATCAGACAGAGCATCTATTTAAAAGCAGTACAAAACCAAACAGAGCATCTATTCGGCCCCGAGGTCCCAACAGTGCTCGGCCGGGGGCAGGCAGTATAGAAAACATTCAGACAAAAAAGCCAAACAGTATCAGATTGCAAGTTCAAAGAGAAAATTCTATCATCCAACAAAAGGCACAGATGGCCCCATAACCAGCAGCAAAGAAAACAAAAGAGAAAAGAAAAATTGTCTTGGCAAGTGCAGAAAGAAAGCTCGTCATGGAGATCGAGCCACAATACATCAAAACAAAAAAGCAAAAAAGTTCAAATCCTTTCAACATCAACTTTCATTAACAGAGGGAAACTCAAGAGTAGCATCAACAATTTTGTCCAGGCCGTTTGGGGGAGGAAAAGTAGAGGCAGCTCCAACTTCTTGAGAAGTAGAAGCCTCCTTAACCACATCTCCCGCGTCTTCGGTCTCCAGGGTTTCAATCCCTTCAACATCCACCGTTTCAGCGGCAACATTACTGTCTTGGGTCTTGTTTGCAGAATCAGCTTCTGGAGAAACTTCGGTTGGAAGAACAGCAGGGGTGGAAACAGCCTTCGAACCCAAGGATCTTGAAGGAACGGGGACATCCTGAAACAGGGAAGAGCCTTCAAGAACCAACGCAGTAGCCAAAGCACTCGTCCAACCCTTTAGAAAGAGCTTATCTCGTAGCACTAGCACCTCTTCCTTATAGGCAGTCCCAGCTTCATCCCAACCCTGTTGCTAGTGTCTGGCTTCCAACGCAGAACGCTCGGCAGCCATCACGGCCTCCAGTTCGGCCACCTTCCCCTTGAGTTGAGCCTGTGTCCCAATAGCAGCCTCCTTCGATTTTTCAACTGAAGCGACAATCTTGTTCAAACGAAATGCTTCCCTCTCTGCGGTTCGGCGTCCTTCCTTCTCTGTCTCCAAGCTTACCGTCAGTCTCTCAGCGTTCATTGCAGCCTCCAGGATGGCCCTTTCTAGCTCTTCAGCACGGGTAATGGACAGATGCATTCTCTGGATACACTGCAAAGGACAACGAAGAATTAAGAGAAAAGGAGACGACAACGCAACAATAAAGACAAGTAAAATGAGGAAATACTTACAGCAGTCATCATCTAAAGGGTCCCCTTCATAATAGGAATATCACGGGGCCCATTATGGTCGGCCATGTCAACCGGCATCAACAAAAACTTAGTCAAATCAAAGGCAAAATCTTGCGAAGCAACAACTGAATCAGAAGTGGAAATGGGCCTGCCCTTATGCGACATTGGTGGCTTCCATTTCTCAAAAGTC